ATATATATATATATATATATACTCACACACACAGAGAAAGAAATAAGTGATAGTGTGCACCAATTTTGACCTTTTGTTTTATTATAATCAGTGATCACTAAGGGTAGTACTTTCACAGTTTTTCAACAGTTCTTGAGTCCCCAAATTTATTTGTAAAAAAAAGATAATAAAATTAATTAAATAAATCTGTTAAAAGTTAAATTGTATCAGTTACACATTGTAAAGGGCCTGGCATGGCCTGGTGGTTAGGGTGCTCGACTCACAATCTGAGGGTTGGGAGTTTGAAACTCTGTCACAGAACATCCTGATCCTATATGGTTGCTGACTTGGCTTACATAAAGTCTGGCTGACCCAAAATTGGGATTAAGGGGGAAAAACCCTGGTAAAATATTAATTTTTAATGAATAGTATGTGTAGGAAAATGTGAAATAAAAATGTTGTCTCTGAAATAATCCCATAATTTAATTTACTTTTGAATTTCCCAATATAATATTCTTCGTTGCAGAGCCATAAATTTAAATTGTTACATTCTCAAAAAGGAAGATCATATTTCATGATTATTAAAGAAATATAACAGTTTTAAAGAGACCAGATAAACATAATGTTTTTATAATGAATGAACATGTTGCAATCATTTGATAAAATCTGTTTGAATTATGGTACTCATGAAAAGGTCTATGATAAAGATCTGGAATATATTGTACTTAAAATGGTTATTATCCTGATTAAACAGTAAAGAATTTATTTTTGTAAAAAAAAGGAAGTGATTTTCTTGCTAATTTCATATCTATAAGTTATTACTTTTACTTTATTTGAATATGCTAATACAGTGGTTTGTTGCCACAGGTGTGAGCTGTGGTGCCACAGTGACATGTTTAACACCTACTTATTTGGCTTACCATGAATTCCTGTTTCCAGTGCAATACCAACATGGGTATATTTATAGCTGGATGAATATATAAAACGCATTTCTGAAGAAAAACATTGGCACAGACAAATTGTTAAATGATGTAAAACCAAAGGACACATCATCTCGAGGAAGGGATCTTTCGGTGTCCTCCAATAACTAATATTGTTGCTACTTGTTCCGTATAAGTCCACATTTATATTGTTGCTAATTTCTGTATATATCCATCCACATTTTTGTTACAACTACTATTATACAGTTAACTATTTTATGAAAATTTATTATAGTTACCATTCTCTGTTACAGGCAATAGACAAACTACAATAGTATACTTGTTTCAAAATTTTATCCTATCAAACAGCACCCTCCACCAGATCTTGGGCTACTCTTATCTGAACAAATACTGATGTGGAAATCGACTGTTACTTGTATATTCCAGTCACAAAAGTGAACCCTGACTCCTTGGATTCATAGCCCAGACACACTGACAACAACAGTCACTGTCTAATGTTTAATTATATTAAATCATAGTATTTTACTGTTTCATAACGTGTGTAGAATATGTCTTTATTCAGATGTATTCAGGCTGTTTTTCTAAATTTTTGTGGTGTTGTTAATATAGTTAAAACATCCTGATAAACTGGATGTTTAAAGATCATTAACATACACTGATCCTCTAACACAGGTAACCATGTTATTCACCTCTTCACACAACAATTAACTAGAAACCCAAGTTGAAAATATGGGTAAAGAACAAATGTAAAAGAAAATAAATTACAACAATGAGCTCCTTTCGGAAACTACAACATCCA